CTAAAAGTTTAAGCAGTCTGAACTGGAAGTAAATGATTGCTTGATGAGAAGGATAGTGGTAGGTTTGAAGCACAAATTTTGTTGATTTTAGGTGAAACACACAAGTAAATTAAAAAACTAACAAAAATAAAGCAACAATGGAAATTCAGAATCTATAGAGAAGATTCATTAATTTCTATTAGCTAAAAACCAGTATTTACCTAACATATCACAAAGATTATTTTTAAAAATTTTATGACACTTCTACAAAATACAAAATCTGTAGAAGGTCAGCTCCGCCACCTAGTGCCACAGAATTTGTTAGAATACAATTGCTCCCATGCACTCAAGGAAAATATGGAAGAGTTATGACTTAACAATAATTTATAAACATGGTATCCTCATTTTAGTCTACTTTCTTTCATTCACAGGTGAAATAAGTTATATGTTCATTACAATAATAATGAAGAATGAATGTGGCTATAATTACCATACTTCTTAGTGAACTTATCATTAAAGGAAACTAAAAATATTCACCCCAAAATATACTTCTTTGACATATTTTGAGATGGCTATTCGCAGGGCCAGCAGACAGAAATAACCCTGAAAGGCTGCCTTTTGTGGAGGAGATTTGCATCTGCAGAGAAAATCTACATTGGTAAATTGAACAGTCAAGCTTTCTCTGAAGCTCCCTCCCTAGTCAGGATCTAGGAAAGATTAACTCAACCACAGGCTACCATCTGTTCTTTCTGAGGGCAGCTCTGAGATTATCTGAGGTATCTTCATTTGCACAACAGGACAGCCTTTGCTTGACAAGGTCTCCTCCCTTCGAGCTCCTGTAACCTGTGCGCCACCTCCCTCAGAGCCCAGAGACACCTGGTCCCAGGCCACTGTTCTGCAGGTTCACTCATCTCCCCTGGAAATCATGTACTCCAGCTCCCCCACCCCTCGAATCTCCCTTCTCCCCAACGAAGAGGATATTGAAGTGTCAACCATCTGGCTCTCCTTTGAGTTTATATTTTGTATGACTCTTGTGCACATCTTTGCACGTAATAAATCTGTTATGCTTTCCTCTGGTTAATCTATCTTTTGTTATAGGGGTATAGCCCTTGACCCTTTAGGATGGGGAAGGAGGGTCTCACTCCCCTTCTAACCCTACAACATAAATGTGGAATTGTTACAGGCTTTTCTAAAATCCTGGTATCCTCTTATAGAACGTCTCATTCCATCCTCCTCTATAAATTCTATCTTTGAAACTCATACTCCATTTCTCTTGCTGCATTTATTATCTATACCACACAATAACTGCTCAGTTAACATATGTGGTAACATCACATATACTATTCTTTTAAAAACAAAGTCTTATTCTCCACATGGCTGGCAGAGTGATCTATTTCAGAAACAGAAAACTGATGTGTATTTTCTTTCTTAATCCTATATGGCTTTCTTCCATCACTTGCAGAATAGTCCAATATTTTGTAAATATCATACTTCACCATAATCTGACCTCTGTCTACTTATCCAGTGAAACAGATCATATAATTCAGCTACTCAGGGAAAGGAAGGAAGGATATATAAAAAAGGGAGGAAAACAGAAAGAATAAAGGAAAAAGGCAGAGGAAACAGGCATCTAATTTTAAAATTGACTTATATTAATTAATAGGCCTTATTTTGTAGTACCAATAAACAGTAAATAAAGTAACACAGGCAAATATTTACTTACAAACATATATGAATGGTTGAACTCAAAAATAAAAAGTTTTTCTTACCTTAGCAGTTTTAATATAGTGGCTCAAAACTTCTGCTCTAATTTTTAATGTTTGAGCATGAAGAATCTCTCTAACAACCCAAAAGCTTACCTGTAAATAAAAATTTAAAA